CCCAGAAAAAAGTATCTGGGAAAAATAACATTCAATAACCATAGTTATTTCATCCATTTATAGATGGGATAAGCCACGCCTGAGGAGAGGTTTTTCATATGGAGGTTTCTGGTCGGGTAGCCCCTCCCTTGCATCGTCCTCGCGGATGACACCAACATTGAATAATTTTGCTACTCCCCAAAATTTCATTGACTTTAAGGGGGCTTTCGGGGCTGTTTTTTTTTTGGGGGGAGGGCTGCATGTTTCTTTGTTGCAAAGCAAGTGGGGAATGTTCATCTGGCATTTGGATTTTCGACGAAGAACACCGATTCATTTGGATTTTTCCTCCGGGATTCCTTGTTAGATTACGTGGATGGGGATTCGACATGACATATACAAGCACCTTGGGGCTTGGGAGGATGCCAATGGTTGTGGTCAACGCCCAAAAAAAGGGCTCCTATTCCGTATGTAACGCCCCAGTCTATATAGTTCCAGGCAAGAATCCCGGGGTAGAAAAAACCACAACTGATAAGAAACATCAGCATGTTGCCCCTTTCAGTATGGCAGTGTGTGGTCATTGGCCGAAAAAAATCGATTGGAAGTGCCCTTGCAAGAGCATCCAAGAGCAGCATTTCCACGTCCGGACTTTCGTCAAGATGTCTCTTTTTTTCTGATTTTTTTTTGGGGCCGGTAGAAAATTTATCTGCATTTCCTATATTCCATATATTCCATTATATGGTTGGGCGCAAACTCTACTCTCCGATCGTCCAGAAGCATGAACTGTGAATATTTAGCAACATGTATGAGATAGCAAACCTTTCTTAAACATTCCTGGATTTACCCCAATTTTACCAGACATGGCGTATGAATCCCTTTCACCTACATAGTATTAAATACTTACCCTGTAGAAACCTTGGTTTTGTATGGGATCTCTCCATTTTGGGCTCCATTTTGGGGGCGTTTCTTTCAACAACAACCATTCTATCCACATTCTATTCCCATCAATTTTCTAGATCAGATCAAAGCCTTCCTTTGTCCCATAGTTTCCTGCTTGCACTTTAGATTTATTGCTGGTTAAACCATCCAAGGTGGTGCCCCAGTTCGTTAGCTAAGTTGGTGAACATAACTCCCATTTCACTATGGTTTATGGCAGATATAACTATAGTATTCATGGGGTTTATAAACCAACTTATAACTGGGGGGCATCATCCTGTAGTTAAGCCCTGAATTTCTTGGTAAGTAGAACCCCCCGATGACGTCCCCAGCCTTCGTCGTCCCCGACCTCAGCTCGATGCAAGGCAAGTGAAATCGAGACATGCCACGCGACGCGACGACGGATGGCACCGGGTTGTTCCTTGAGCAGTTTATGGTTAGTTTTGTTTAGCAACCCCCCTTTAAAAGATGGAGTTGATGGAGAATTTAATCCTAAAGCAGTGATAAATGATATAAATTGATATAAATATGACTTTTCTGCTTGAGATCGCTCAATGTTTGTGTCTTTTTCAGGATTTTACCATTATTTTTGAGGTTTCAGGCTGCAAAGATGTCCCAAAAAACCAGGTTCCAGGTTCGTGTCATCCCGGCTGCATAGGCTTCCTGCGGGATGACTTTAGGATGCTGCAAAGTGGTGCAAACTGGAGGCAAAAATCATTTTTTTTTTTTGTGATTTTTGTGATTTTTGGTTGGTTGATGATTATCTGGGGTTATCAGAATCCATGAACTAGGACCACCCTCTGGTAATTTTGAACATAGCCACGGAAAATCACAATGTTTAACATTATTAGATAGGTAAAACATCTATAAATGGGCAACTGATTATTTCGGGAGTTTCCAACCGTTTTTCAAACTGACTTGGATGATTGGTGGTTTCCAACACATCCCACATTGGTTTTCAATGGGTGACCTCAATCCTGATGCAGCGGCTTTGATTTTTTTTTTTTGAGGTAAACTATTCAAGAGACCCTGTGGTGGGTTCACCAGTGGGTAAAATTTCGGCCGGTTTGTTGGTTCACTGGTGGAATAGCTATCAAGGCATATCAAGGCTATCAAGCCACTTGGATGGGGATTGGTGGGGGCTGAACTCATGGGGAAGTGATGTCAGCAATTTGTCATCTGAGAATAGCTCAAAATCTAAAAAGCACCTGGGGCTTAGGTATTTGTTTCTTCATCTATGATTTCGTAGTCCAATGGGACTGGGGCAAACTAGTTCTAAGATTTCTGCACTGTGGTGCCGCCCAAATGTTTTTTTTTTTTTGTTGTTCCCATCAACTAGTTCGATATATCATGATATATCTACCATAAACCCAACAACTAGACTATACTATACTAGGCTAAGACTTGGGGGCACCTTGTACGATTTCTGGGCCCAGACTGCACTTCATGGTGTTGCGCGCCCCACTTGGGAACGCTGGCGACGGTCTGAAATGAGCGCCGGCACACCAGCGCAAAGGTCGCGAAGGTTTCGGATGCTGGTGACTCGCGACCCATGGGCACGCGGAAAAGAGTCTGGGATCTAGGGCGCGCATGGTATGGTTCGCGACATAGCCAAACTTCCGAAGCCTACAATGAGACTGCCAAGCCAAACTCTGGTGGTTTGTTTTTCTGGACATGTGTGGCATACACAAACATTTGGTTATGAGCATGTTCGTTCATGTCTACTATGTCACTATGTTTGTGAATTCTTGCATACTCCATGAACTGAATGGATTTTATCATCGGTGCCGAATATCGTGGCACCTCACTTCCAAAGTCCTACGGCAGTAACATTGGGCACCGAGAATACCGTATTCCATTATAGTTTTGGAACCCCTCATGCTTTTCACCACAGATAAAGGTATCTGGTTAGTGGTTTGGAACATTTCTTATTTTTCCATATATTGCGAATAATAATCCCAACTGACTTTCATATTTTTCAGAGGGGTAGGTATACCACCAACCAGGTATGATCTTCAATGTACATTATATCTTCAAATCTTCTCAAAGGTGGTTGGGATGGGCCGATGGGCGCTGACAGCTTACAGTCCGTGAAATGAAATGGGTATGTTCGAGAAAAGACAACACACACATACATACATATATAGAGTATAATATATAATATATAATATATAATATATAATGTATAATATATAATATATAAAATATATAATATATAGTATATAATATATAATATATATATATATATTATATATATACACATATTATTTATATAATATGTTATATATGCAATATATTGATATATGATACATATCTCTATATATAGATTAATATAGATACGTACATACTTTATATATACATATATAACATACGTATAGACATGTATAGATATATCGTTGTGTGGCACACTTTCTTTTGCACTCCTCGGTTTGCACATCGGTGTCAAAAGACGAACCGGCTCGTTCTTCCCGAAGTTGCTTTAGACAGTGACGCTGGCGAGCTACAGCCTGACCTCAGTGTTAGTCTTGTGGAGTTATGAGATATTATATACTGTAATGAGGAAATATGAGGGATACTAGCAGTTACTTACTTGAACAATGGTGATATATACTGGGATCACTAACAGTTTAATATGGTGATATATGTGATACTAAGAATGAGCATCAAACCACTTGAACATCACCAGTTGGTTTCTGGCAGCGCAACATCTTTCTTCCGACTTCGCCATGTTGGCCGCTCTCAGCCCCCGGCACGCCGGCCCCATTAAGACCGTGCCGAACGGACGGCTTCTGGTGGCTTGGCAGGTGTGGTTGGATCACCGCCTACTGACAACGGTCTCAGTGCCAAATGTTTGTCAGTTTTCAATTCTCTTACGATGAATGGCAGGAAGTCTACGATATTTTATTCCAGGATAGGTATGCAAGTATTCAAACACATTTTGGGGAGTTGTTGCTAGGTAGATGTTGAGCACAACAGAAAGTCACATGGGTTTCTTTTCAAGTGCGGGTATCCCTGTGATCATGCTTGTTGATTAAAAATATTAAAACATCCAATTTTAAGGGTCCCCTCCTGCCTGACGAAGCCTGCAAATATCCCTTCCCATATATCTCAGTAAGAGTTGGGCGATCTATTTTTGATGGTTTTTGATGATCACATTCGCTATCAAAAGTGGCCAGACACTCAGGTTGCAGGTGCTTCACCTCCGACCAGACCTCCATGGAGCCTTCCGATGGCCCCTTGGCATTTCTGCTTCAATTTGCAGCTTTCAACCTTTTTTTTGCTGATTTTTCCCAGGGGAAACCATTTTCCCAGCAGGTTTCACCATGTTTTCTTGTTGTTTTTTTACCAAGGGAAAAGCAGTGGTGGCACCCGAGGCTTTCATGGTCGTCGGAACAGTTGGACGAGCTGCAAGGCGGAGAGACTTCCTCGGGACGCATGTGGGACAGAATGGAAGAATTGGCCACTTCTTGATAGGTTTGGGAAAATCTCCGCAATCTTCGGATACTGTTTCCGTAGGAAGTACAGTCGGACCCAGATATGCAGTTGGGGATAGTCCGATCATGAAATTGCGTGAATCAAAGTACCCAACGATCCCTGCGTTGGCAGCCTCAATAGGGGGGGATCATTGTACCTGACCAGGGCTGCACACCCACGTGGTCCGTCCAGAAAGAGATTTCACCACCATTCTATGCCATCAAAAACCGGGAAATGACGATAAAACACTGGATTATGGGGTATCACTGTATCACCAATCATTGCAAATACCCAAATCAGAGCTGGCCCATTAAACATTCTCTCCAATGATAATAGGACCCTTCCGAACCTTCCCTCTTTTTATCATAAATTTCCCAACAGAACTTCTCGCGTAGTATTGGATGTAGTCATTTTGCTGGTAACCTTTGATATTCAAGGGACGGGAGCAGTTGGACCCACATTCCTACAAAAATGGAATATGGCGCAGTGGGGCAACCATTCATTTTTTTGTCCCAGACTTGATTGCTGAAAACTTCCCCACTTCCCCACCAATCGAAGATCATGAGGGCCTAAGGGTCCAGGGAAGTTCTTTTTCCAGCTTGGAAATCTGTGAAAATCCGTGAAAAAACCCTGCGATGTTGCGCTACTACGCAATCCTGGTGGCTCAACCTTTAGCTGGGTTGAAACCACTAGCCCTCTTTGCGTTTGAGAAATTTGGATCTTGTGGAAACGTCTTCGACATGTGGCGCTTGGGAATGATGATCGCTGCCATGAGCCTTGCTCAGGTCCGGCAGGGCTGAAGGGCTTGAGATTTGGGTTACTGGTGACTAGGGTTACAACCAGCTTTAACATGTGTCCCTATCATTCCCTATCCACTTTCTGAGCTCCTGGGTCTGCAAGACATGCGTACTAGTTTTTTGGCTAGTTTTTCAGGGTTTTGTATGTAATGAGGGGCCTTGTCCCCACTTGTGCTTGGGCAATATGTACGGAGCAACAGAGACAAGTAGCCGATAGGGGCTGGTCACTGTTTGATGTTGGCCTTCTGTGGGGGGCCCCGACCTGGCTTAAGTACTGTGGTTACCCAGCCATAGATATGCTACTCAGTACACTGTTTTATTTTTTATTTTTTTACTTATTTCTGTCTTGAATTGTAAACATTTTTTTTTTTAAATATATGTGATATACTCAGTTACATATTAAATCCCCATGTTTTTGAACTTTCATAGTTCTACAATGTAAATCCCCATGGGCATTTTTTCGGGGTCCAGGTGACCCTGGCGGCTCGCCCGATGCACTCGGAATCCTCATCAGCAGGAGCACATACGCTGAAACACCATACGTGTCTTGGACGGTTTGGCCAAACGCCCAGCCAAGATGAACTTAGGAAACTTCGGTGATTTTATGGAACTTCATTTAGTGTGATTTGATGGAACTTAATGATGTAATGGAATCGAATGGCGATTTTATGAACGACTTCGGGTCTGCGAAAAACTTGGAACCAGCGAAGATTCAACCGGAGGTTGAGGTTGGATTGCGCTCAAAAAGAGCTTGCAAAAACCTTTGCCAAGAACTGGGATATAATTGATATCATCCAGAAATACCCTCTGGTTATGTCAAAATAGCTATTGAAAATGGCCATAGAAATAGTGGATTTTCCCATTAATAGCATGGTGATTTTCCATTGCTATGTTAGTTCACCAGTGGGTAAGGTGAACTTTGGAAACTTATTAATCTCCCTGTTTTTTTTTAACCTTCCTCTTGTTTTTCTACCATCCGGACATCCACATATTGGGCGATTGACCGACTTAAGGCATGGACATGCTGCACATGCTGGACATGCTGCACATGCTTCACATGCTGGACATGCTGGACATGCTGAACACGCTCATCACCGACAGATCCATGCGCACAAAGCCCACGCCTCCTCCAGCGTCGAAGCGCTCTCTGCCGGCTCCTGCGATGCGTGCCAGAAGAAGTGCAGCAGGGACACCGTGGGTCTCGCGGCGTTTCACACCGTGGACCGTGGGGGGGGCTGGAAAGGGTTGATTTCACCGAGGCTTTCGATGATCTTGGATGATCTTGGGAGATTTTTTTTAGTGAGATTTAGAATTCACCGTAACTAATACGTCTCCAATTTCCGGTGTCCGAACATTTTTTGGTTTACCTATGTTTACCTCAAATTTTGGCCTAAAAATGGGACGATGAATGATGATGATTAGCCATTCCAAATTCTCAGACACCCCCAGAATTTTGATGACACCATCCCTTTTTGGGGCTTCATCTTTTGCTCCAACCAGCCAAAAAACATCATTCTTGGGGTATCTAAGATTGAAAATGCATGGTTGATCAATGTTGATCAGCTTCTTGGGATTGAAAAAAAATGTTTCACCATTTTGCAGCTTCTCCTTATGCGATATCTACTGTATCTGCTTTGATTGTTTTTTGTGAGACCTGGGCAAAGCTGATTGCGGATCGTCTACCGTGGAGAATTCGACTAAAAATCCCATCCAAGAGCAGATTTCTCACCAGGCCTTGGATCACTTCATGATGTGGCGAAATGTCCCATATCTGAAGCCCCAAAGTTTACCAGAAATTTTGCTAATTCTCACAACTCTGTGCTTAGAAACCCGCTTGCGAAGTAAAACCATCTACTGCTAGTTGTTTCGGGGGGTCAATACCAAATACCCTCTGGTAAGCGTTTACATAACTATCTATGGAAAGATCCACCATGCTATTAATGGGTAAATCAACTATTTCTATGGCCATTTTCAATAGCTATTAGTAAATTACCAGAGGGTACCCTACCAGAGGGTACCCTCTGTTAATTTAGCGATGGAACATCATCTTAATGCGTGAATCGGCAAATCTATAAATGCGCAATGTTCCTTTTGCGGCCCTTTGCGGCGAAGCAAAGGGCCACTTTTTTGCATCACCAAAATAGATAGACAAGATGGAAAGCGGGAAAATTATGAGGGAAACACCCTCTCTTTGTCCTGGAAGAAAGACTTTTTGATTTCCATCCTCAAGACTGCGATGATTTGTCTAGTCGACGAAGAAGTTCTTGGATTGGTTGAAAGCATCGAAGCATTCTGCAGTTGTGTTTTGTGGGACTTTCGTAATTCCGTGGTGTTTTTTCTTCTGTCGTTTTCCAGAGATTTTACGGGGGAAAAATGCACAGCTGACAGGAGAAAAAATCTACGGGATGGAGCCCCCAAGATAGCTTTCTATGGTAGATATAACTATAGCTAATGGGGTTTATAAGCCAACAAACATCACTGGGGGGCAACATCCTGTAGGTTATACTAGGTTAACCAACTGGACTGGATGCTTAATGGCTAATTCTTCATTATGGTTAACCATTAATTATGGTTAACCATTAACCATTAATCATGATGATGTTTATTGCCAGTTGGTTAACCATTAATTAATAGCGGTTAACAATTAATGGTTAAGCAACTGGCAAATTCTCCGCATTCCCATGGGCTGCGCCAAGGTTTGAAGTGCATGTACCAACGCAAGCCACGGCGCCTTGATACAGCCCAAGCGGTGCCCAAAATGGTGGTAGCCCCAAAAAATGGTGCTAGGGTTACTATTTTGGTAGGAATTTAGTTTTATGTGTTTTTTCGTTGCTATAGTTTTTTTGGGTAGATGATGCAGTGGGTCTCTGAAAATAGTTCGTGAATTCACCTCCCAGTATTGCCAGCTTGAGAGGAAATATCCATGATTTTTGTTGTGATTTAGGGATAATCACTGAAAACATGAGACTAACCCAAATGGGAATTCTACTACCTACTTGTACAGTGATTACTGTCACAATGGAGTCATAGAAACAAAATGGGCTTGGTCAACTGGTGAAGGGCTTTCTTTTCCTATCAACAAAGCAGTTCACCTGAGATTTACAAGCATTGCACAATTTCGTACCTGGAACTCGAAAAAAAAACAATACTTATATTGAGGTTTCCCAAGTCATAATGTCATAGGGGTACACCCAAATCATCATTCCCCATCTGCCAGGTGAGGGTTGTTAGATTTTATGTCAGTTGCCTGGTCCTCCTCGTCCTCCTCGTCCTCCTCCTTCTCCTCCTCGTCCTCCTCTCGTTGTCCTCCTCCTCGTCGTCCTCCTCGTCCTCCTCCTCGTCCTCCTCCTGCTCCACTGCGATCCATGTCAGTGTGCCCTGCCGGACCTCAACCACGACCATCCACGTCAGTGTGCCCTGCCGGACCTCAACCACGACCATCCACGCCCAGTGTTCCCTGCCGGACCTCAACCACGACCATCCACGCCCAATGTTCCCTGCCGGACCTCAACCACGACCATCCTCGCCCAGTGTTCCCTGCCGGACCTCAACCACGACCATCCACGCCCAGTGTTCCCTGCCGGACCTCAACCGCGAGTATCCACGCCAAGTGTTCCCTGCCGGACCTCATGTAGGAAGATATGGGACAAAGAATGTGCAGAAGAAAGTTAGAAAGAATGTCAGAAAGAATGTCAGAAGATATGCCAGAAGATATGCCAGATAGAATGCCAGAATGCCAGATAGAATGCCAGAAGATATGCAAAAGATATGCCAGATAGAATGCCAGATAGATGCCAGATTGAATGCCAGAAGAGATGTCAGATAGAGTGCCAGAAGATATGCCAGATAGAATGCCAGAAGATTTGCCAGATAGAATGCCAGAAGATATGCCAGAAGATATGCCAGATCATATGCCAGAAGATATGCCAGATAGAATGCCAAATAGAATGTCAGAAGATATGTCAGATAGAATGCCAGAAGATTTGCCAGTAAGAAAATGTATAAATGTCATGGTGGGGATCACACGAAGTAAAGTATTTTTTTTTTTAAATCCATCATAAAACATCCAGCTATTGGGGTACCCCCATTACCCCCCTAATATAGGTTGTTTCATGATGGCTTCAGACTCCGTACATCTTCCCGAACAATCCATCCTCGCAAGCCCCAAGGAAGTACTGCACTTGCACCTTCTCAATGGGCGATGCGGGATGCGTGGGGGATGACGGACAGAACTGCCTTTAGCTGCGATATTGGCAGATTCAAGACATCGCTTTGGCAGAAAATGCTGCGGCTGCAGTCTCTCAAATTGCGAGGATTTTTGACCCAAAAATGCCAAGGACAAAGAACAATGGTTTCACTTGAAAGGTTCATGGGAGCATCAATCAAAGAATCCAACCAAAAACATTCGTAGGAGACATCTCTGCCATGAGATTTTAGGGTATACCCCCCAAAAATTTGATGGTTAATCATCATTTTCTCATGAAAACTAGCCCTTTTTGGTAGGGCTATCCACTGTTTCCATAGATTTCACCTGATCCTTCACCTCGACCGATAACAACCCCTGCGGTTGTGATTTTTTTCCGGGGTAATCAGATGCCTTTCAGTGGCCTTGAATCAGATAAAAACAGTAGGAAGTACCTGGATACATTAATGAAGGGAAAATAAAAACCCCAAATCTTTCCAAACTTTTGAGGTTGGTGAAACATATTGATGTGTTCAGAAATGTGAAAAAAAAACGACCCAGATATTTTGTTTGCGTCTTCAATGGGATCGCAGGTAAAACTGGTTCTAAGTTGGAACTTCTATGTAAGTCGGAGAATTCCCATAGATACCCGACCTGGTAAACATACAAAAAACGGATGGGAAAATCACCTGATTTTATAGCTGGGGAAATCAACTATTCAACTGGGGACCCCTAGGACCGATGACTCCATCTGGCGATTGTAACATCATAGGGGTCACCAATCCCACCGCGCGCACTTTTTCGATTTCCAGAAAATATCACTGGTCCCCTTTTGCCCCCCCACTGATCCATATTTTTTAGTACAAAGAGATCCACTGATCGAGTGAAGTAAACTAAGTAAACCAACTTACATATCATAAATCACAGATCAGTATCATCAGTTCCAATACTTCATAGTTACCCTAAACTGTAAACGAACTAACAGTTCGATGTGGAGTTTACCCAGTGTGAATTTACGTCGATCATTTTCCGAAGAGGAAACCATTAGCCCAAGGTAAAACCACCATGAAAAACCACATTAGAAATCCCAGATAATCCCTATCAAAGCCCTGTTAAACAACCATTAAATCCCATTAAATCACCATTGCATTCCCTTAAGTCACCATTAAATTCCATTAAATCACCATTGAAATCACCATTGAATCCCATTAAGTCGCCAATGTTTTGCTGATGAAATCCAATTCATCCGGCAGGTCTAACAGGCTGCAACGTCGCAGTCGGGGGGGAGAGACTGAGCTGAGCTTGGGACAGGCTTCATCGCTTGATTCGGGCAAAAGTTGTATCCCCGTTGTTTGGTTAATGTAAGGAGTTACTATATATATAATTATATTATATATATAATTATATATATATAATTATATATATAATTATATATATAATTATATATATACTTATATATATATATGTATACATACATATATATATATATAAACATATGTATATATATATATATATTATCATATATATATATAAACATAATCATATATACATATACCTGGTATACCGTATACCGTTGTTGATTTGAGTTACATTACCTGGTTAATGGGATTAATGGGGTGAAAATAGAATGAACATAGACTGCTTGGAAGTGCAGTTCCAAATGGGTTGATTTGGAGCTGTAAAGGGGGAAAGTACATGAACATATTATCATATCATATCATATAATATTATATCATATCATTGTCATTATCATTATCATTATCATTATCATTCTCATTATCATTACCATATGATTTCCAATTTTTCTTTCAGTTGAGCTAGGGTAAGCCAATAGGTAGCTGTTTTCCGAGAAATTTTTGGGCTTGCTTCGTTTTGAAGCCTTTTTCGCTGGATTGGTTCAAGGGAAAAGTCGGAAACCATGGCGGTTTCCTGCAGATTGCCCAACCAGTCGGCATTTTCATTTGGTTCCCATCAGAGGAGTTTCATGTGAAGCAAATCCCTCAGTAACTACTCAGTAACTACGACATTTGAAGCCCTGGATCCAACAAACAGGATCAACACAGATGCAAACTACAACTTTACTTCACCAACCAGAAAGAGAGTATCAATGTAGGGTTGAAACAGAATCAAGCCGTGTAAATTGTAGGGTGAACAGTGAACATGGGCTATTTCTTTTTTTTTGCATTGAACATAAATTTTTATAGCCAGCTCAACATTTACATTTTGGCAGTTTTTGTGCCTGAGATTCGCGGATTTCGCCCATAGTTTGCTGAGGAGAAAACCGATGACTTCTTGGCGGGCTTCCGGGTGGCCCTCGGCAGTCTTCCCAGCCACATTTGGGTGACAGCGAGGAAATATATGGACGTATCAAGGTTTCCTGGAATTCTGCAGTTGAACCAGTTAAGCACATGGATATTATGACACTTCATAGGGAAATCTATCGTCCCCAACATATGTATATGGAATTTTTCATGAAGACTATGACCCCAACACATGTTTTTCATGAGCTGGGAGGTATTTTGGCTCAATTGTTGACCCAAATCGGCATGCCAGGTCGCGAAGAGCAATTGGAAAAGGCCAGTGGTGTACATAGATTTATTGGACATCTTTCATGTCATGGACATCAATGCCATGAATCACTTTTTGGAAACTTGATGGTCACTATGAAATATAGATACTTCCAACGGATTCTTAAAGTTTTTTTTTTTACATGGCATATATATATATACATATATATATATATAGACATACACATATACAACACCCAAAAAAAATTGGAGGTAGAGTTTCTTGCCAACTTCGTTCTGTTCCGTTCCAGGACTTGAGCGTGGCCGAAGAAACCACCAGTCGCTTGCATGACGAGCTCGCGGAGGCCTGGTGGCCTGGGAGGACAGCCGGATCCAGGGGAAAGCCATGCTGAGTGAAACCATGGAATTTCCGGAGAGTTGATGGATTTTACCACCAAACCATGGGGATTTAGATATGACGTATGTCCGAATTTTTGTTGATATATATATATATATTGGATACAATGTGATATGAATGAGAAAGATTGGGATATGAACTGTTACATAGTCAACATTGTATCAACTTCATGATGATTCGTTTTGGGGTTTCACGAACATTTGCCCAAGTTGAAGGTAGCAAAAAAGGAGGACGACCTTCTTTTGACATTCGAATCTGGGCGATTTTTCCATGGGACGATGCTGAATAAATTGAATAAATGGGAGATTTTCCGGCGTATGGTATCCAAAGATATCCAACATCCGACCCGAAACTTTGCGAGCGTGGCTTTCCGCTTGAACTTTGCTAAAACATCAAAAAGAATTTGTCAAAAAATGGCAAAAATATGGGGGTACCCAGATAGCTTGGAAAATCCACTTGAACTATCATGGACTTTCAGGGACTATCATCATTTTCCTGGTTTTTTGACAAGTCGACTCACCAACATTTCAGTGACCAGTGTGAAAAGTACAGGTGCGAGGCGATCGGGACCATTTGCGACAACAGTTGACGGCGATAGAAGAGGAAGCCCCTCGGTGGTGTGGCGCAGCGGCGCACTGCTGGGGCTGGTTTTTCTGGGGGTTTTATTCGGACCCGACCCATCCACAGTTGTAACAGGGCGATTTTTTTTTGGGCTTTTGAAGGCCCTTCAAACATTGTGAACTGGGAGAATCTGGGAGCTATCAGAACCTGGGAACCCTGGAACGCTGGAATTCTGGAAGCTGTGGGTTAAACAAGGCTTGGTTAACATAGGTTTTAATCATTTTTAATCCCTGAAAAACGAATCTTCGAACTGGGATTGGCAATTAGGATACCCTCAAACATGACTACAGTTGACTGTAGCTGACTAGCTGAGTTCAGATTCCCTGAACTCAGAGGTTTCTATTTGGGAGAATCATGGAACTCAGGTCGTGAAAAACCACGGTAGAATCCAGGTTAATTGGAGGTACCTACCATATCTAAGGTCTATTTTTGAAGACAATGTAAGGGATATAGCCCCAAAATATGCCTTGATACGGTACAGTATCTCCATTTTAGGATCCTGGAATTCCCATCGGTCAAGTGGCGAATCATATTACTGGTGGTTGGGAGGGAGTGGTGAAGGGATCTATGGCTATCCGTATCCAGTTGTAGCTACGAATTGAGTGTCCCAACTGCATGAATGTGCACTTGAGTTTGCGATTTTTTCTTTTGCATACCCTCTGGTAATTTGTTACATAGCTATACATAGCTATGAAAGCCATTGACCCCATCAATTCCTTCTATGATTTCCAGTTCGCCATGACAGAATACCAGAGGCAAAAACACCCAATCGAATGGCCATTTGCCTTCGGCCTTGAAGAACTTGCCTTCGTAAAATCAAGGCTTCAGATAGGGTTAAGTCGTTAAGTCGGCCGACGTCTGAAATTGAAGAGTTGGATCAAGGAGAAATCGACAAAACACCCGACAAAAACATGGGAGAAAGACCAAAAACAGATGGAAGCACCTAGAGGTTTCAACCAAACCAATGAAAGCTGTGAATTTCCAAAGGTTACAAAGAAAATTTCACCTAGCTTGGCAGCCGACCACACCACATGGTGGTTTTGGGATCGGAAATGTCAACACGCTTTGCCATGATGCATTCAGGCATGAAAAAGACACCTCGGGTGGGGTAACAAAATGCCATAAACCATACCCTATTGACTAATCGAAATGGCATGAAAAATTCGCGGTGAAAAGCTACTGATCTTTCTAAATCTCTGCGCCTCGCCATGCCAATGCCCATGTCCAGTCGCGGGAAGCTGGCCGAGCGGCAGGTGGTCCTGAAACCTTCCGAGGAAGCGCAGGTGATGTGGGTCTGCTGGGTGCAGGGCTGGTGGAAGAAGTTGCTGCCTTCAGTGATTGCTATGTAGGTTGAAGAAAAACACCAGAAAAATATCCATGAACTAGATATCTCGACCATAAACCCAACATTTATTGGAGTTATGTTCACCAACGTAGCCAACGAACTGGGGCACCACCTTGTATGATTCATCAATGTCTTTGGTATTCTTGTTTCTGCGAGTGATCTGGTTTCATTTGATTTAAGATCTCACTTGCAAGTGTGAAAGAACATGACTAGCAAGATACTTCTACTTGCAACCGAAAAGACAGACCGCCAGTTTCACGGAAAAGTTTGCAGCAAAGGGGGTAAGGTTGTCACCCGGTCCCAATAAATGATCCTCATGATTATCCCCTGTAGATCCCTGTAGTTTTCATTACATGAATGACAAAACAGAGCGAAATCAGGGTTGAAAACCCCTGGCAGGGCCTAGGGCATTCTCTGGTGCAGATTCAGGATGCATCTTCACCCTCACCGCTGCGGAAGAGGGAGGAGGACCTGGGAGTGGTAGAGTGGCTATCAAATCTTGATGGAAATCGATGGGAAACCGATGGACATCTGGATGAAGGGGGTACCATGAACCTACCATTTTGACGATCGAAGTCGTAAAACATTGGAAGAGCCTGAAATTTCCAGTTGCTTCCAACAGTTTCTTTCAATTCGTACATGATGCTCCTGGCGATCCTAAGACCCCTATAGTCACTGGTCGAAGGAAGTTTAGAAGTCAAACTTCCGACAATATGGACAGATGAAAAGCAGAGTAGGGCAGAGGCAGAGAGAAGAGAAAGATTAGAAGAGAGAAGAGTAGAAGAGAAAGAGTCAGAAGAAAGAAGATGCAGATGCGCGAAAAGGTAGGAAAGTCGCGACACACTGTGTTTTTCCAATGATTTGTGGCTCCGGAGAGTCGAAAAGTAGGCTCGCTAAAGCGGCGGGTGCGGAGCCAGCTGGCCAGATGAGAGATGAAAAGTTGCACGCCGTTGTGGCGCGAAGCACATTTCCAAGTCAAAATGTACAAAACACACCATGCTCGGACCACTTTTGGAAGTTAAGATGTTGAAAAAGTGTACGCCGTTGTGGCGCGAAGCACATTTCCAAGTCAAAATGTACAAAGCACACCATGCTCGGACCACTTTTGGAAGTTAAGATGTTGAAAAAGTGCACGCCGTTGTGGCGCAAAGCACATTTCCAAGTCAAAATGTACAAAACACACCAGGTCCGGACCACTTTTCGAAGTTGAGATGTCGAAAAAGTGCACGCCGTTGTGGCGCGAAGCACATTTCCAAGGCAAAATGTACAAAACACCAGGGGTTCGGACCACTTTTGGAGGTTGCGATGTCGAAAAAGTGCACGCCGTTGTGGCGCGAAGCACATTTTCAAGTCAAAAGTGTTAAAAACTGACGGTCTCGGACCACTTTTGGAGGTTCAGCTGTCGATGTCGAAAAAGTGCACGCCGTTGTGGCGCGAAGCACATTTGGAAGTCAAAAGTGTAAAAAAGTGAGGGTTTTGAGCCTTTTTTGACGTGCTGATGTCGAAAAAGTAGACACTGATTAACTTAACTAACTTGACTAACTTAAGTAACTTCACTAACTTAACTACCTTAACTACCTTAACTACCTTAACTACCTTAACTACCTTAACTACCTTAACTACCTTAACTACCTTAACTACCTTAACTACAACTACAACAACTACACAACAACTACAACTAGAACTACAACTACAACAACAACAACTACAACAACTACAACTACAACTACAACTACAACTACAACAACAGCAACAACAACAACAACTACAACTACAACAACTACAACAACAACAACAACTACTACTGCTACTACTACTTCTACTTCTACTACTACTACTACTACAACTACTACACTACACAACAACTACAACCACACAACAACTACAGCTACAGCTACAACAACTACAACTACGACTACAACAACTACAACTACAACTACAACTACAAAACAACTACAGCTACAACTATATGACTGCAACTACACTACACTAATTGCATTACACCACAACTACAACTCCACTACGCTACAACTACAACTACAGTTGCAGTACATCACACTACATCCAGCAGTTGTGGGTGAGGTGACCGCTGCAACCATTGCAACCATTCCAGCAAACACAACTCCAATCACCTTTCGGTCAATCAGTGGATTCGCTCTGCCATCCGTGATTCACAACAACCAACGTCTCCTATAGGTTTCCTATTCTGAAACTTCCGCCGCCGCCTTGTGCGGGAGTACTGGTATTTAATGGATAAAACAGGTGTGTAAGACAGATCATAAGCCTTGTTTCCCCCCAAAATTAGACCCTGAAAAGCACCAAAAATTAGTTGCCATCCAACCCAAGAACTGGCAGGGTCTATGTGAACCGGAGGGATCGTACCCCGAAGTTGTGGTGAACCTTGGCCAGGCTCGGCTGCCATGGCGGTTGATCTCAGCCGTTTGGGGCCAAAATCAGATCCGCATCCCATCGCGAATCGCCATCCCATCGCATCCTCCCTGCCATGGAAGTACCCGGCACCGCTCCAGTTGCAGCCAAGGAAGTCGTGGCATCCCCAGCAGGTGCGAAGTGCGGCCCGGATTTGTGGCCCGTGTTGCCGGCCCAGGATGGCTGATTTCCATGCCCTAAGCCTGGCAAAGGGCAAAGCTTGAAGCATCCGAAAAAGATCCTCCAAGCATCACGCCAATCAATGCCCTACTCAGAATCTGAAAATGGCCCAGTCGAAATAGTTGATTTACCCATCAATAGCATGGTGTCTTTCCATAGTTATGTAAACGTTTACCGGGCCGGGTAGTTGTTAAATATCTGTAAAGCCAAATGAGTCATGGGCTTCGCCATTTGGATGATGAAGCATTGAAATGACAGGATCCCATGAATCGTACAGGAGATTAATCCTCCTATCATATCTCATTATATCATATATCCCCAACAAACCACCATTTTTGCTCGTTAAATTCCTACTATTGTCAGGTTTTTTTCATAAATCATCATAAACCACAGAAAATCATCTAGAAATTGGTGATTTCATCTATTTCCTTCGGGATTCCATGACTTCCCCCATGGTTCTCCCAAACTGCTTACCAAGCTGTTGGATCATCGGCAAGGAATTCAGATGGCTTTGTCACAGAAATGGGGACGGAAAAAAACACGTTGCAATCTTAAGGGGAAAATGATGATGATTGACCATGAGCCGGAACTTAGCATCCCATTTTGGACCATTTTTAGCAGATGAAGCATCAATTTACCGACCAAAATGGGAGTATACATATATATATATATATATATATGTATACACATGTTACAACTTTTACAACTGTTGTAAGGTATGAACCTATGACCCTTCTTTAGATGCGAATCCGTAAGTGGCAAATTGTTAAAACAAGTTTGACCTTTATGCAAATTCATGCTTTGCTCAAAACTCGATGGCTGACCTAAAATTCCACTTTTCCGGTCAAATCCCGATCTGTTTTGGGTTAAACCAGTTAAACCTACGGTGGATGGAAGAAATCCTGCACCAGGAAATAGGTGGTTTATCCCAGGGTTTCAACCATCCAAGGTGGTGCAGGATTTCTTCCATCCACAGTATGTCTTTGTGCATGACATGTTTTTGTTCTGACTTTTGCAGGCTATGCACCGCCGTCCATGGCGCAGACGTGGCTTGGTGGTCGTGGCTTGGGTCGTGGGTTTTCATGTTGGGGAATGGATAGCCAGGGAGAGACAATGATTTCAATGGGTAACAAAAGATCATTCATTAGAACGAACCGACTACAACTAAACAAGGTAATATGGGATATACATAGATATGCTATCATGTTTTTTTTGATTTGGGAAAACCAATTCCAGGCCATCCTAGCATTTTGATGCATTTTGGGGATGCTCGAAATGACATTGGCTTTAGCTTGGCTGGTTGGCAGCCATGGCACCGTCTCCCGAGATACATGCGCGGTCCCCTGACGGTTTCGGGGAGTGGCAAGCCGTTGAGTGCGGAAGAGCTGGCTGCCTGCAAAGAGGAGTTGGAAGCCATCAAGAAGGAGCGAGAAATGTGCGGAGAATGGTGCTTTCACCATTAACTGGTTGGTGCTTTGGAACATGAATAATCATGAATGGACTATTTTAAATTATTTTCCCCAATAGTTGGGATGATTTTCTCCAATCTGACGAACTTATATTTTTCAGGGGGGTAGGTATACCACCAATTAGTTAAGACTGGGACTCTCAAAATGCGTTTTTTCCCCAACAGCGTAAGCTAATGGGGTCTTCAGCCCAGAATAGCTCCGGTGTACACTGGTGCAGGCGCCGGGTCAGGTTCAACGAGTTCCGGAGAAGGTTCCGAAGGTTCCGGAGAAGGTGTGAGAAACAGGTCAGGTTCAACAGGGTTCCCGAGAAGGTTCCGGAGAAGGTTCCGGCGAAGGTCCGGAGGCTTTGGTGCAGAGCCAGGTCAGGTTCAACAGGGTTCCGAAGAAAGTTCCGGAAAAGGTTCCAGGAAGCCATAGTGCAAATCCAAGTCAGGTTCAACCGGTTCCATAGAGGGTTGTGGAGAAGGCCTGGGAGGCTTTGGTGCAGAGCGGTTTCGGAGAAGGTTCCGGAGAAGGTTTGGGAGGGTTTGGTGCAGGTTCAACAAGGTTCCGGAAAAGAAGGTTCCGGACAAGGTTCCGGGAGGCTTTGTGCAGCCAGGTCAGGTGCAACAGGGTTGTGGAGAAGGTTCCGGAGAAGGTTCCGGAGAAGGTTCCAGGTGCAAAGCCAAGTCGGCTTCAACAGGGTTCTGGAGAAGGTTCCGGAGAAGGTTCCGGAGCAGGTCGGGGAAGCTTTGGTGCAGAGCCAGCTCAGGTTCAACACAGTTCCGGAGAAGGTTCTGGCGCTAGGTCTGAGCCAGGTCAGGTTCAACACGGTGCCGGAGAAGGTTCCGGCGAAGGTCTGAGAGGCTTTGGTGCAGAGCCTGCATGTTCAACAGGGTTTCGGAGTTTCGGAGCAGGTTCCAGAGAAGGTTCCGGAGAAGGTTCCAGGAAGCCTTGGTGCAAAGCCAAGTCAGGTTCAGCGGGTTGCGTAGAAGGTTCTGGAGAAGGTCTGGGAGGCTTTGGTGCAGAGCCGTTTCGGAGAACCTTCCGGAGAAGGTCTGGGAGGTTTGGAGCAGAGGCAGGTCAGGTTCAACAGGGTTCCGGAGAAGGGGGTTCCGGAGAAGGTTCCGGGAGGGTTTGTGCAGAGGCAGGTCAGGTTCGGTTCTATAGGGTTTCAGAGAAGGTTCCGGAGAAGGTTTGTGAGGCTTTGGAGCAGGCTGAGGTGTTTCCAGCGCTTGGCTTCGCAGATGGTTGAGAAATATTTTTAAAAATAAAACGTTGCGGCTGTTGGGGATACCACCGAAGCCTTTTTTTTTCCGTAAGCTAATGGGGTCTTCAGCCCAGAATAGCTCCGGTGTGCTCTGGTGCAGGCAGCGGGTCAGGTTCAACGAGGTTCCGGAGAAGGTTCCAAAGGTTCCGCAGAAGGTCTGCAAGGCTTTGGTGCAGAGCCAGGTCAAGTTCAACAGGGTTCTGGAGAAGGTTCCGGAGAAGGTTTGGGAGGCCTTGGTGCAGAGCCAGGTTCCACAGGATTTGCGGCCATTTAACTCACGGAAACCCAGCTGAAGTGTTTCTAGCGCTTTGCCTCGCAGCACGCTTCAGAAAGATTTGTCAAAAATAATCCGTTGCGGCTGTTGGGGATACCACCAACGCTGATTTTAACGGGACCGGAGAGACTGGGATGATGAATGAATATTAATGATGGTGATTTAGCACTAATCAATGGCACATGTCCATTGGGATGTGGGTGTTTTGGGGAATGGTGATTTATCTATTCAACATGGGGATTCTGGGTGTAGCCAACGAGACGTTGACTAGTCCTATTCAACCATGATTCATGTGAGCAGTGCCGAAGATATTGGCAATTGCTAGACTGTGACTGTGACATAGGATTAACCTACGTACTTATCTAGCGATTGCTAAGCACTTTTTCAGAAACAGTCTCAAAACCATTTGTATTTATTTAATTTGAGAACTAACTAATGGGAAATGAATTTTCATAACAAACGGACATTGTTAAACAACCTTTGGAAATAATCCAAATCCATTTGTTGGTGAGTTGATCAGTCCTGGGTCTTGACAAATCCTACCTTGCAGTGGGAAAATTGCAGGTGGTGGTTGCTAAACCCCAAACAAAATAGATGTGAAAGTTGAACACCTGGAAATATGAAGTAAATCTTCCTGAAAACACTTTTCGATCTTTTTTTGAGTACTCTAGAACATTGGTGAATTATTGGTATATTTATCCAGTTTCCACGCAATGTGTCCGTGCCGTTCAAGTCATGCGTGAAATTCATAGATGTCGATTCCCACTGGTTGGTTGATTAATAGAAGGTTCCCTGCATTCAACAACCAACCAATAGGTAGATGATAATGATGATAATGAAAACCTTCCGATGATCAAACCTGGCCTGCTGGAAACTCCTCCATGACATACGAAATGATGGAGTTCTGACTTCATTTTTCCTAAAAGGACAACATTGGTTTGTTGATGATCATTATTGACTATATCTTCATTATAAGCTATGCTACCCAACATGTATATACAACATATATATATACACATATCATATATACACACACATATATATATATACATACACATACATACATACATACATACATACATACACATGGGATGTATCATCTAGTCGGGAGGAATCCTTCCAGGAGTTTGGACTTCACGAACCCGACAGAGCTCACATGAACGAGGAACGCGGCTGGGGATGGGTGTTTGGGGGTTTGGGCGGGGCTGGATCCAGGAAAGACATAGAGATGATTTTTGATGAATACACTCTGGTAAACATACAAAAAGCTATTGAAAATGGCCCAGTCGAAATAGTGGATTTACCCATTAAAAATGGGTGGATTTTCCAGTTCGCTATGTTAGTTTAGCAGAGGTATGAGATGATTATAGATGATTATGCTAGATCAATACAAGTGTGAGATGATATAGATGATTATAGATGATACATGGCATTGTAAAGATTCTCAGATTACTGAACATTTTATGGATCTAAGTTTCGATATTTTGATTGGAAGATGACTTGGAAGAACATATAGATGAACCTTGGGGCCTAGAATACATCTATCCATCAAACACCTTTTTGTGAAGGTGGGGAAAATAAAGAGCCATTCATATGCCAGTTCTTAGTTGTATTTTTAATTTGTGGCTGCATGATTCAGACGAACAGCCAGCAGTCCAAAGTAATCATGACACCGCACGAAATTCATGGCAAAATTGCCCTTGCAGTGGGGAACATGATGATGTAAACATATATCATAGGAACTGTATGTAATCCACCGGATCTGGTCTTTTTTTTCCAAAATGATAGGACGACCCCAGCACCGGGGGAAGCCAGAGCCCCCTCTTTGATGTGCAGGAAGGCACCAAGTGGCGCTTCGGTGGGGTCCCGGATTATTCCTTGGTCAACCTGAAATACTTGCAAGGCGCTGAGATGAATTGGGTGAGCTAGTCATTACTGTTTTTCGCCAACCGCGTAAGGTAATGGGTCTTCAGCCCAGAATAGCTCCGGTGTGCACTGGTGCAGGCGCCGGGTCAGGTTCAACGAGGTTCCAGAGAAGGTTCCGAAGGTTCCGGAGAAGGTTTTGGAGGCTTTGGTGCAGAGCCAGGTCAGGTTCACAACAGGGTTCCGGAGAAGGTTTTGGAGAAGGTTCCGGAGAAGGTTCCGGAGCAGGTTTGGGAGGCTTTGGTGCAGAGCCAGGTCAGGTTCCGGAGAAGGTTCTGGCGAAGGTCTGGGAGGCTTTGGTGCAGAGCCAGGTCAGGTTCAACAGGGTTCCGGAGAAGGTGGCAGAGAAGGTGTGAGCACCGGCTCAAATGTGTCAGTTTCTTGGAGGATGCCAAGGGTCGTTAGATCACGACCAGCCCATCGCGCAGATCCATGGTATGATCCGCTTAGAGGTGCCGGTGATTCGTGCCCAAAGAAATGGAAGTCAACCATCAAAACGCTTCCACAGACTGGGGTTTACGGGTCGAAATTCAGGTTTGGCCACCCGACCTTTAATGTCTAGACAATCTGAAACGGTGGATGCAATTTTTCAATATCTTCAGGTGCAGCCCAACAAGGAAAAATTGCGCCAATCAGTGGAACAATTCAACACTTTTGGTGATATCACGATCGTCCCTATTCATGAAACTGGACCAGTTGAACGGCACCGCAAATACAAGCGAATTTACAAGGCAAGATGTCAACCTGCTGGCTCTTAGATGATTTTCGTTGCCCTGCTGTTCAATCCTTTTGAATCAATGTTGCTGCTTTTTTGGTGTGGAAATTAGTCGTGTTTTATGATGCATGCAATTGATTGCAAGTTTCCTCACGCTCCCGTCAATACGACTCGGGATATGCGTGATGAAAGCATTTCGTTGTAAGCTGTCCGATCCGAGGCATCAATGGGATTTGATGATCTACTTTCACCCGCTATGTTTTTTTTTTTTTGTAGGGTATCTGGCTGATGGGCAATGATTAATCACCATGAATTATCATTAATCGCCATTATTGACCATTGGGCCATTGTTAACCCTTATTCACTATGGAAAACACCAATAGATCAGCATGAAAACAGATTGAAACAGGTTGATATTGGAAAACATAATCTTTAGAGTGTTGAGGAGCCTGAGAGCCACTTCAGACCTGCTGAAATTCACTGACCCGCACCGAGCCAGGGAGGACCAAGAACCACGCAGCGGGGTCACTGGAACTGATCGTGGAGAACCTGGTGAAGACATGGGAGATGGAGACCCGGGGATCTGCTGAATCTTCGATGTTTGTTGGTAGGTGATGAAGCCCTATACCAGCCAGAATCACATCCATACAAATATACATATATATATATATATACACATATAGTTATATATACATACATACACAGTAAATATATATATATATATAAATTATTCCTGTCTGGGGTTCTTGTTTTTCGCTTCCCGCCGCTGCATTCGCCCGTCCGCGTCCGCCCGTCCGCGTCCGCCGCGTCGCCTCTCACTCACCACTTATCACATCTCACTCATCACTTCTCACTTACCATTCTCACTTCTCACTTACCATTCTCACATCTCACTCGCGACTTCAACTCATCACAACTCATCACAACTCATCACAGCTCCACTTCTCACACCTCACTTATCACATCACAACCCATCACAGCTCCACTTCTCACACCATCTTTCACACACCCTCTTTGTCACACCATCTTTTACACACCATCTTTCACACACACACACAACTTTTTCACCCACCATCTTTGGCACACCATCTTTCACACCATCTTTGACACACCATCTTTCACACCACTTTGTCACACACACACACAATCTTTCACACACAACTTTGTCACACACCATCTTTCACACACAGCTTTGTCACACACCATGTTTCGCACACCATCTTTCACACGCAACTTTGTCACACACCATCTTTCCTCCACCTCCTCCTTTGTCTTTCCGTCCCCGCTACAACATTTCTGGCTCATTATTGGAAGAAGTTGACTTGTGGGGTAATCCGGTCCTTTTATTAATTACCCGTAGTACCGCGCAAGGCGGTGGCGGAAGTTTCAAAAATAGGAAACCTATAGGAGAGGTTGGTTGATGTGAATCAGGGATGGCAGAGCGAAGCCACTGATGGACCGAAAGAGGCTTGAGGTCTCCTCTTTTTCCCTCTCTTTCTCTGACTATCTACCTACCTACCTACCTACCTATCTATCTATCTATCTATCTATCGATCGATCGATCGATCGATCGATCCCTCTCTCTCTCTCTCTTTCATCTAATTACCCATGACCTATCTATCTATCTATCTCTCTCTCTCTCTCTTTCATCTGTCTATCTGTCTAGCTGTCTAGCTGTCTATCTATCTATCTATCTATCTATCTATCTATCTCTCTCTCTTTCATCTGTCTATCTGTCTATCTGTCTATCTGTCTATCTGTCTATCTGTCTACCTGTCTATCTGTGGTGCAGTGTCATTCAGTGCAATGTAGTGTAGTCTAGTGTAATGTAGTGAAGTGGAGTGTAGTGGAATGTAGTGTAGTGTAGTGTAATGTAGTGTAGTGTAGTATAATTTAGTGTAGTGGAGTGTAGTGGAGTGTAGTTGTAGTTGTATATAGTTGTAGTTGTAGTGTAGTTGAGTGTAGTGTAGTGTAATGTAATGTAGTGAAGTGTAGTGGAAGGTAGTGTAGTGTAATGTAGTGTACTGTATGTAGTGTAGTGGAGTGTAGTGTAGTGTCATTTAGTGTAGTGGAGTGTAGTTGAGTGTGGTTGTGTAGTTGTAGTTGTAGTGTAGTGTAATTTAGTGTAGTGGAGTGTAGTGGAGTGTAGTTGTGTAGTTGTGTAGTTGTGTAGTTGTAGTGTTGTGGAGTGTAGTGTAGTGTAATGTAGTGAAGTGTAGTGGGAGGTAGTGTAGTGTGGTGTAATGTAGTCGTAGTGTAGTGTACTGTAGTGGAGTGTAGTGTAGTGTAATGTAGTGTAGTGTAGTGTAATTGAGTGTAATTGAGTGCAGTGTAGCGTAGTGGAGTGTAGTGTAGTGGAATGTAGTGAAGCTGTAGTTGTCGTTGTTGTGTAGTGAAGTGTATTGGAGTGTAGTGTGGTGTAGTGGTGGTTTTAGTTGAAAATGCTACAAAACCATCACGTTCTGCTCACTATTGACAAGATGCACAATCCCTTGCGCCTGCCACGCGAAGCGACATCTGAACCTCCAAAAGCGGTCCGAACCCCTAGTGTTTTTAACATTTTGACTTGGAAATGTGCTTCGCGCCACAACGGCGTGCACTTTTTGGACAGCTCAACTTCCAAAAGTGGTCCGACGCTGAGGTGTTTTGTACATTTTCACTTCGAAATGTGCTTCGCGCCACAATGGCGTGCAATTTTTCATCTCTCATCTGGCCAGCTGGCTCCGCACCCGCTGCTTTAGCAAGCCTACTTTTCGACCCCCCTGAGCTACACATCATTGGAAAAACACAGTATTTCGCGACTTTCCTACTTTTTCCCGCATCTGCATCTTCTTTCTTCTGCCTCTTTCTCTTCTCTGATCTTCTCTCTTCTAATCTTTCTCTTCTCTCTGCCTCTGCCCTGCTCTGCCTTTCATCTGTCCATATTGTCGGAAGTTTGACTTCTAAACTTCCTTCGATTATTAGATATTATAACATGTATATGAATGTAGAGAGAGAGAGAGAGATATATTTATACACATTATAGCATATATTTCTACAAGAAGGTGAGAAAAACGCAAATCATGGCCCAATTTGGAACTCGTCTATGGTTCATTGGCCTCAAGTGAGGCGGGTGGTCTTGTGTATCTCCCAAGGAATTCATCACATCTCACATTTTTTTCAACACGTAATGTGGAAACAAACTAACATAGATGTGGAAAATGGATGAAAATGAAACATTTAGTTCGATGATTGACCTATAGAAACCGGTGAGTTTCAACAATTTTTGTCCCGTTGCAGGAACGATCGCACAAAGTGGATCCCAACCAACACCGCAGCGTGGATCCGGAGAAGTTTCAGATTGGCGCCAATGGATGGACGAAGTACGGCAACGAGGAGACCTTGGCTTGAGAAACACGATGATTTACAGGGTACCCTTCCAAGATGCCGAAAACCAGGGTGTTGGATGATACTGCGCCCACTTTTCTACAATGACTGGATGGGTTGCTAGATGGGATTGTCTGGAAATATGGTACCCCTAAATCCATCGCTTCATCATCATTTTCCCCATTCAATGGTCCCCATCCAATTTTTTGAATCTCAGGAGGCCAACACGGTGGGCAACTACAACGTCCTGCTGAGCGGCTGCCCGGCAAAACTCTACGACTCCTCCCAGACCACCTGGGAAGAATCGCACGCGAAGTTCCACAATGCCTTTGCACCTGGGCAAACGTGGAAGTATGGGAAAAAATGAGATTTTCACCAGAAAAAATCGGGATTTCACCGCAAAAATCGCGATTTCAGCAGGAAAGAATGAAGAAACCAACTGGTGATGGGACTTGAAACCAAAAACATGAAAAGTGGGGATTGGACCAGAAAAATTGGGGACTTAGGAAAAACACGATCGGGATTGAAGTAGAAAGGGCTGGAACCCGGAAGAATCGGGAATTTCAGCCGCACTGGTGAAACGGTAGGTTTAGCTGTTTCACCGTTGACCTTTGTGAGTCTGACCTGTTCGTTTATAACCGGGTCGAAGATCCCGCAACGCATGGGATTTCCCATCAGATTCAGTTATGTAGAACCGGATTTGCTGAAGAAATTGTTCATTTCCCTACTTGGGAAATCAACTACTTGGGGAATCTATACGGAATATATCATATATGTAATATATGATCATATTTGGTTCTTTAAATCCCAGTGTACCAAATAAGCCAATCATGTCATGGTTACAACCCCATGAACATCTCCAGTCACCACCTTTACCAAGTCTTTGGGTCGACCTTAATAGGTATACAGTATACACCATTTTTCCCAAACATTTCTTCCAAAACTACGAAGTCACTATAGGTTTTGCCAACTTTTCTTCTACACATTTTTCCTTGTCCAGGGTCTTCCAACATTTCCAACTCTTTCTTTTCTTTCACACATATTTATCCAACAAGTCCCAAAGTGATGTTAGTTGGTTTATACCCCCAAAACTATATAGTTATACTGTTATACCTACCATAAGCCACAACCAGTTTATGTCCGTCAACTTAGTTAACTCAATGTCATTTGAATCCCGCGAGATCGCGCCATTTTTGCTGCTCAAATAACTATGAAAACCATACTTAACTTCTTATAAAACCATAGTTAAGTTGCTCTCAAGCACACTTAACTTATCATAAACAATAGTTAACATAGTTAACTTAATGTAACTTACTATAAACTATCACTAAGCACAGTTTTCCCGTTTTCGTCGACCTCGAGGCCGCCTTCCCTTGGGAGCTGCTGGAGGTTTTCTCGGGACCTCCGAAGGTGGCCTTCACCTGGCGTCACTGGGGGGAGCCACGCGGCGTCACTGACTGGTGACGACTTGGCTCATCCCAAGTGGGTTATATCATATATCAATCATATCCCAGTTTTTTGAGTGGATTAACATGGATTAACATGGATTAACATGGATTAACATGGATTAACATGGATTAACATGGATTAACATGGATTAACATGGATTAACATGGATTAACATGGATTAACACGGATTAACATGGATTAACACGGATTAACATGGATTAACATGGATTAACATGGATTAACATGGATTAACATGGATTAACATGGATTAACATGGATTAACATGGATTAACACGGATTAACATGGATTAACATGGATTAACATGGATTAACATGGATTAACATGGATTAACATGGATTAACATGGATTAACATGGATTAACATGGATTAACATGGATGGATTAACATGGATTAACATGGATTAACATGGATTAACATGGATTAACATGGATTAACACGGATTAACATGGATTAACATGGATTAACATGGATTAACATGGATTAACATGGATTAACATGGATTAACATGGATTAACATGGATTAACATGGATTAACATGGATTAACATGGATTAACATGGATTAACATGGATTAATATGGATTAACATGGATTAACATGGATTAACACGGATTAACATGGATTAACATGGATTAACATGGATTAACATGGATTAACATGGATTAACATGGATTAACATGGATTAACATGGATTAACATGGATTAACATGGATTAACATGGATTAACATGGATTAACATGGATTAACACGGATTAACATGGATTAACATGGATTAACATGGATTAACATGGATTAACATGGATTAACATGGATTAACATGGATTAACATGGATTAACATGGATTAACATGGATTAACATGGATTAACATGGATTAACATGGATTAACATGGATTAACATGGATTAACATGGATTAACATGGATTAACATGGATTAACATGGATTAACATGGATTAACATGGATTAACATGGATTAACATGGATTAACATGGATTAACATGGATTAACATGGATTAACATGGATTAACACGGATTAACACGGATTAACATGGATTAACATGGATTAACATGGATTAACATGGATTAACACGGATTAGCACGGATTAACATGGATTAACATGGATTAACATGGATTAACATGGATTAACACGGATTAACACGGATTAACATGGATTAACATGGATTAAGATGGATTAAGATGGATTAACATGGATTAACATGGATTAACATGGATTAAACCTGCTTATCCCATGTAAATCACTGGGAACCCACAACGATTCGTGGGTAGTTCGCCACCAAGTAGGAAAGCTTCATGGGGACTTCACCCGAATTTTTGGGAAAAGATGGAGTTTATGGAAGCACAGTAGTAGAACCTGGGGCATAGCGAACTCGAGATGACGTAACTCTGCCAAAACGACCAAGAATACGAAAGCATGCGATGAATTTTTAGCTATATTATGAAACAACACAGGGAACTCAATTTGTGGCAATGAATGATAAAACAGAATGATAAATCATGGACAAAGCCTGCAAGAAATTGGGATCAACTGGCCAAAATCTCCAAAATTCACAGATCATTTTCATGAATTGTCCCTATTTTCCCACTTTTCCCCAAATTTTCCTCAGATTTTCCCACTTTTCACCGTTCGAAACCAAGTCATCCAAGGCCCTTTGCGTTTTCCGCCCCGAGGTTCACAGGGACCTACGAGGACAACAAGGGCAAGGGCGAGTTGGTGGAGGTCTTCGGCTTTGGGGTGGCAATCGTGGATGACCAGCTCAGGTTGGGGGCGACGCCATTGGGGAAGCCATGGCCATTGGGTCATTGGGCCATTTTTCGTGCGGTGATTTCGCGTATGAAAAATGGCGTTTTTTTTTTTCAGAAGGACCAATAGATGGATGGTTTCTTATGGTATTTTTAGGTTTTATGTTTTTTTTGAATGATGTAATGTTCCCAATGATACTTGATTTTAGCTATAAAAACATGGGGAAAAGCACCAGTAGATGGTGGTTTTTCATGGTGAGATTTTGTTTGAAATCATGTGGTCAATCCAATAATCAAACACGGATTTAATGGTGTGAATCAGGGTTTTTCAGAACTCTCCAACTGGTGTCGACATAATTAGCGGGTTTCATCCCCATGACTTCGCCACCCTGCATGGTTCGAGTTAAAACCCTGGATTTCAACGCAACTCAAGCAGCAGTCCATTGAAAGCTCTCTCGAAGATCTGAAGATTGGATGGACATTTTGGGGAAAAACCGGAAATACATGCACAGCGAAGCTCCTACCTGGTCCTACCTGTATGTTTCAGATGGTTTCAGCTAGTTGAATCGTCAGCTGGAAATATCACTGGGATTTTTCAAAGATTTTTCGATGAATCTACGGCTGACGAAAGGCGTTCCAGGAAACCGACTTAAACAGAACTGGGGGGGTCCGATAAATATTTGTGAGGACTCTTACCTGGTTGATGGTTTGGAACATTTTTTATTTTCCATAATATATGGGATGTCATCCTTCCCATTGACTTTCATATTTTTCAAGATTGTTAAAACCACCAACCAGTTACTTTTAAGAACTGAAATATTTGTTCTTTGAAGAGAAATCAGGCATTCATCAGCATTCATTGTCTCATCGGCAAGAGTGGAGTGCCATAGCATGCCATAGCCATATCCATATAGCCCTTATTTTTTTCGCATCAAGATCCATCAAGTATATCTTAAAATCCACTACCTGGGATCCTGGAGAGGTTGGTGGATGTGGAGATCTTCTACAAGGCGGAGGCCTTTCTGGAGGCGAGTCCTCCCGAGCTCAGCCTAGAGATGGGAACCAAATCCTTGAAAAATCCTGGGAACATTGACATTGACATGAAAAATCCCCATTTTTTTACACATCTTGTTGTTAAAAGCCAGGAGTTTTCCAGTCCAATTTCCGATCTGCCCCAAAATGAATTAGAATAATTAGAATGAGCAGACCTTGGAGGAAAATGCAAAACAACGTCTCGTGAAAAGCAATGGTTTTCCCAGACAATTTCGCATCAAAACCCCTTGAGCATGATATCTAACTACTATTAACTACTGATTTTGAGCACAAAAGTAAACCACTTGACTCCCTTGACTATTTTTTTTGTTTCCCCATGAAGCTGAACCAAAAATCCCATCAAGACATCTTTCAAAAATGAGAAGCACACAAAACGCTAGAAATTTCATAGTGGATTTTCCAGGATTTTCCATATATATATACACACATATTTACAGATATTCTATATCTTTCTACGAGTGTTGCCTAGACATTTTTGCATCAAACCATGGAAATCTCGCCCAAAAATTTTGGGGTTTCCCCCTGTTGAAAGGTGCTGCGTGGCGAGCGCCCAGCAGAGGAGTTGAGCCGCGGCCGTGATCTGCTCGGGGTAGCCGCAGCATCAGGCTGTCCGCATTTGAAGACCCAGGTGCCTAGTTGAGCATGCTCAGCACACTTTGGAGGTCTCAAGCTGACGTCTTCCTGTGCTGGTTGAATGCTATCTGGGGCAGATTTGCCCCTCAGGGTTTTTGGGGGTCTCAAATTTAGAGGATCATATCCTGAAACAGAGTTTGGGATAAACCTTAGATACTGATGTCTTGAACCATTCTTTTATTTCGTTGACCCTTGCATTTGATTCCCCTAAACCCTTCGCACCTTGCCATACCTGCAATGCCTCTGCCTTAGTTTGCTTCAAACCTTGTAGCTGGTACTCTGACGTGAGAGTTGTGAAACTTGCCATCCCGTGGGGGGCAGGGATGTTGCCGTTGTGCTTGTCTTACATTCCCAGATGGGAAAGATATGGAAAGATTACAGGAGATCTCCACTTTAGGGGACATCGGAGAATAGAATCAATAGTTTCCTGTGAATTTCCATTGAATATCTACTTAAACTCAATCTATTGATACATAGAAATCGATTTCCATCAATCCATTGACACATAAGTTATGTTCACCAACGTGGCTAATGAAGGCTAATGAACTGGGGCACCACCTTGTATGATTCATCAATGTCTTTGGTATTCTTGTTTCTGTGAGTGATCTGCTTTCTTTTGATTTAAGATCTCATTTGCTATTGTGTGAAAGAAAATGACAAGCAAAATACTTCTACTTGTAACCAAAAAGACTCCCAGTTTCACGGAAAAGTTTGTAGCAAAGGGGGTAATTAAGCTGGGAGTGGTAGAGTGGTTATAGGATTTAGCCCAAGTTGCCATCAAATCCATGAAAGGATGGAGATCGATGGAAACTGAAGAACTGGAAGGGGGTACCATGAACCTACCATCTTGAAGATCGAATTCGTTTAGAACATCGGAAGAGCCTTTGTTTTTTCCAGTTGCTTCAAAAAGTTTCTTTCAATTCGTACATGATGCTCCTGGCGATCCTAAGACCCCTATGGATCGAGGTGTCGCCTCATCCACGATTCCACGATCAGGATCAATTTAAATTTAAATCAATTTAAATCCATCCATTAATATCCATTAATTACTGTATACACTTTCATATTTCATCCTTATTTGCCCAAGAAAAATTGCCGTAAAAATGGGGACCACAGTTTCGGAGACGCTGATGTCGCAGGACGCAGATGATGACGCCACGGAATTCTCAGGCTCGTCTGTGGTGCAGGGCAAGGGGGGGATGTTTCCACAACAAAAATCTGAGAAGTCCTTGGAGAATGATGATCAATCAGCAGATTTTGGGGTACCCCATTTGTGGAAAAAAAACCATAAATCGCTTCAAGTCGAAGGGTTGTGGATGTTCCGGACTTGGAAAAGGGACGGTTCTTGAGGCTTGCCTTTTCCAGGATATTGTTTTTTTTCATCCAAAAAAACAGGGATTCAACCAATAAATTATGAAGTTTACTCAAGAAATCATCAGACAAACATCAGGGTTTTTCAAAAACTTGGCAGAGATGTGACCCCAAAAAACGCTGATCCAACAAACCCCAATGACTGCCGGGTCGTGGTCGCCGCAGGTTGCGTGTGCCTGCGACGCCACGGCCTTTGCAGCTGCCGCGACGATGCGCAGTGGCTCCGCTCCAAACGAGGGCAGATGACGAAGTATACCCCGCCACATGCCAGGTGCAGATCTGACCAACTGGAGGGGTTTTGAATGGCTTTTACAGGGAAAAAAACGATAGAAAAAAGCGTACTTTAGCAAACTTGATCATGGAAAAAAGGGTTTTGACCTATGAATCTGAGGTAACTGAAACAGAAGATGTGCAAAGCAAGCTCCGTGTCCAGGCGTGCGGTGCTGCAACCCGCGTCCGCGGTGGCCTCCGGGTCCGCTGGGTCGGCGGAGAATGTGGTCTGCCGCTGCCTGCGGCGCCACGGGCGCTGCACCTGTCAGGCAGATGACCGGTGGCTGCAGCGCAAGCGGAAAACCGTGGAGCCCTATGTGCCACCGCACCTGAAGGTTTGGACGACTGGAAGCGTTTGGGGGGCAGTTGACTCCAAAAAGATAGAGAATACAGAGAATCCCGTTGTAAGCGGATGCTTTCCTAGGATTTGGGCATGGATTCAGCATCTGTTTCTTTGGAGTGAAATCCCCAGAGGGTAGATATGTTGCCCCTTTTCAGACGAGCTGCGAAGTGGTGCCCCCGAGTGATAAGTTGGTCTAGTTTCACCCCATTCTATCACTAGTTGCTTTATATGTTGATATGTCAACCAAAAATCCCGAGTTATCTACCGGTAACCAACTTAGCCATCATAAGTCATGATGTCAAAAAAATCGAATTTTTCCCTAGGTTTCTGGGTGAAATCGCTTCAATCCCCATTTTTTTCATGTTTTTCCACCTTGGTCAGTCCCACCTGGGTGGATCCTGCAGGAACGGCAGCGCGAGCTGGAGACCAAGCGTCAGGAGATCGCCCAGCGCGCCGAGGAGGCCGACCCCAGAGGCCTGGCGCCCAACATTCGGACGCTGGCGAGGCGAGGGTGCGCGCGATGTCGCCGGAAAATCGCGAGGTGTTTGGTGACCGAGGCGAGATTTTCTGGTAAAGATACAAAAAACGATGGAAAATCCTGGAAAATCAGGATTTTTAATGAGGTAAATCAACTATATCACCATTTTTTGATGGGTAAATCCACTATAAATCACCATTTTCAATAGCTATAATGGGATATTAGTATAGGATATTACCCTCTGGTAAACATACAAAAAGCGAACTGGAACATCACCATTTTTATTTTTGTTCAATCAACTGTCAAATGTGCCATTTTCAATAGCAAACTGTAACAAATGACCAGAGGATAAACCATGTGAGGCTTATGGTGAGATTGATGGTGATGGTTATTGAATCTTATTGTTTTTGGTTGATCATCATAAATCCCACCATCACCATTTGTTATTTATGGGTGATGTTTTTTTTTTTGTTGAAACGGACCACTGGTTGATAAATCTACTGCGATGGATTGGTCGTAAGCCGCCTTTTCGGATCCACCGTCCCCAAGATCAAAAGACCATCAAATGATGGGTGGAATTCAGAAGCGATCAATCCATATGGGGTGGTACCCTCTGGTAATTTAACAGTTTGCTATTGAAAATTGCCAGTTAGTTTCGTGGATTTTCCCATTAATAGCATGGTGATTTTCCATAGCAAACTGTTAGTTTACCAGAGGGTAAACATGACATCAAGCTTTACACTAACATCAATGTGGGCTTAAACCGTTTTGCCATGTTTACCATCCCGCAGAAAAATCACCATTTTTATAGTTGGTGTCAACATGTATCAACCATTCCCAGTCATGGGTGGTTTTCCAATGACATGGTCTTACCAACGTTTTACCATTTTTTTTTTCCAACTGGCTGTAGATGGCTGTAGATGGAAGTTCATCCTGTATACCATGGTAGAAGGGCGGCTCCGAGTGAGGCAATGGGAGCCCCAGTTGGAGAAGGGCGGCTTTGGCTTCAATCCACTGCAAGCCGAGGCCGGAGGTGTTCACGATTTAGCCGTGACTTGGGGCCACCAAGAACTCCAAGAAATCTTGGGTTTATGGATGTTGATGGTGGATATATATATATATATCTGTAGTTAATGGGATTATAAATCAGAACAAGATGTATATATATATATACACATACATATCCTATATATGTAGTCACTCGGGATTATAAACTAACTTAGAACAAGGGGGCACCACCTTGCATGGATATCCCATGTCTCCCTAGCCATAGAAAAGTTGTGAAAACGTATAAGACGAGAGAAAAACATCATGGGATAGCAAGCATTCATTTTATCGCATGTCGTTTTCAATCTGGGGTGATATTTCGATATCACATCTCATTTTGGGATACATCTCCCCCAGCTAACTCACATCCCTTATAGGATCCATATAAAAAAAACACATTTTTTTTTCGCCGTTTTCGCTATGACCTGGCGCCGATTAATTTTGGGGACAGGGGAAGATCCTCTGCGATGATCTGGGGCTGGAGGCGGAATGTGCCTTGACGCCTGAAGCGTTTGAGTTTTTCAGCATAAAATTTTGGGGTGTGGCTTTGGAAAAAAGGTCCGGTGTTCCGTTTTTTCTGATTTTTCCTGGGAGTTCCACCATGACTGAGGAATCTTTGTTAATATGTTTTTAAATGTTGTTGGAACCCTTACTCTAGCAAATCCAAGATATGGGGATATGCTCGATCGTAAGATGGTTGATGAATGTTGATTGATGAATATTGATGACTATGTTTTGGATGATACGAAACGACTTTATTTATATTGGGGATGATCGTTAACTGAACAAAAATGGGATTCCCGCTCTTGACAGAAAACAGGTACTGCAGAGGGTTCAGTTTCGAACACTGCTCAGGGATCCAATGGGATTGGGAGAATCAGTTTTGTTTGGTCTAGTCAGGATGAACAGGATGGTTAGTGGCATCCTTTTTGCCACTGGTTGATTTTAATGTGTAAAAAAAATCTATTCAAAAACATCAAAAACCATACTAAATATTGGACAGCAGGGATCGACCAAAGGGTCAACTGGTGGCTTTGCCTGAGAAGAGTTGTGACCACCAGCCCTGGTCCGACCAGCAAGCCTTGGCTTCGACAAAAACCAGTGTTGGCCGAATCGGTGGTTTTATTCATCCCACCTTGACCTACAATAGCAATGATAAAAATCGATGATGGCCATAGAAATTGTGGATTTATCCATTAATAGCATGGTGATTTTCCATAATCAGGTTAGTTTACCAGAGGGTAACATTTCGATGATGATTCTGTTGACTTTGCAATCCCATCACGTGGGTAATTCACAATGTTATGGGTTTTTACCACCCATTTTTCTGGGAATGGAAGTTTTTTTTTTTTTTTTCCACCCATAAAAAATGGTGATTTTTCTGGGGGATGGTAAGTTTATGGCAGTCAGTTTTACCAACATCAGTCATTAAAAATCGGTCGATTCATCAGCTCAGTGATGAACCAATTTCAAACGATGACCCTCTCGTCGAGTCGCACGAGGTACAGAACAAGCCTTCACGAGCCAGGGGGTTAAGGCCCTGCCCCTGGTGCAGTCTGGAAACTACCACTTTGAGGCCCCTCGGGCCTCGGGAAGCGAGTGAAATAGTTCAACAGCTGCTAAATCGTTAGTGGGATTTACTTCACCAAAAATGCTATGAAATCAAGTTTTCCAACAGTTTTTTTTTTGTGGGACTATACTTCATGGGAGTGCCAAAACTATATCATGTTTTTTTTTTTTGTGTGGGAATATTTCATGATACAGGATGCCCAAATCCATACGGCCTGATAAGGTCGCTGGGCCGAACTCAACTTCACAGCAAAACCTCCCAGCGAAAACTTCCCATTCGAATACAGGTGGGGATTTTCCACCAATTTTTCTCATGGTTTTCCATATTTTTTCTCATATGTTCAGTGGATTTTCCTATCTTTTCCTATGGTTTTCCTATGGTTTTCCCGGTTTTTTCCGAGGGAAAAACCTCCCGCGCGGCCAGGTGGAGCTGCTGCGGCCTTGCCAACTTACGGTGGGCTGGAGTTCGGCCATGTCGCACGCCAGCTCTTGGGACTCGCAGGTGCTGGGTGGTGATTTTCCCCTAGGAAAACCATCGGAAAATCATGGGAAAATGGTGATTTCACCAGCATTTTATTGGAGAAAATCCCACCAGAATAGATCAGAGGCTATTTTTGGTGATTTCCTTGAAAGATGGTAATTTCAATAGGTTTTGACCCATACCAAGTTATGGAGGTTTTTCATGGTTTTTGATGGTTTATCCAGTATCCAAGTCATTAAAGGGACAAGTATCAAGCATTCGCCAGATTGGGGTAGCCAGTTTTGACGGCTAAGTTGGTGAACAGCTCACTCCAATTTGGGTAAACATTGTGGATATATCGAGTTGTACCTAAGGGGGTTAAGCCAACTTGTCACCGGGGAGCACCACCTTTCAGGTTTTGAAGAAGGGTTTTTAACGCCATTTCAACGCTAAAATTTGGAGGTTTTCCCCTGAAATTCTCAGACAAAGGTAGTTGATAAATGATGGTTGATGATTTTTGATGATTACACTCTGGTAAACGTTTACATAACTATGGAACATCACCATCTTCAATAGGTAAATCATCTATAAATGGGCCATTTTCAATAGCTATGTAACAAATTACCGGTGAGTAAGCTGGTTAGTTCACAATGACAATGGAGGTTGAACTACGAAACACGAGGAATTTATCCAGAAATGGTGGGTGATTGATGGTTGGTTGTTGATTCTGAACTGACTCATGCTGGGAATCCCGCACTCAGCCAACAATGCTACAAGGATATATACATATATATACATAGTATACATATTGGGGGGGATGACAGAGGGTATTTTTGTTCATTGTCCATTCGGGTAGTTATGGGGGTTGCCATTAATCAGATCACTTCCAGATCCCAACGAGTCGATCATTCGATGATTGGAATTCATAGTGACTAGTAGTCACTGGATGATTTATGCACTTCAACCAGTAGTACCCGGCCTGGTAAACATACAAAAAGCTATTGAAAATTGCCATTTATAGTGGATTTACCCAGCTAGAAAATGGTGATTTTCCATAGTTATGTAAACGTTTACCAGAGGGTACTACTAGTGTACATGTTTTTGTAACTCTTGTACAGATCTTCGGTTTTGTCATTCATGTTTTCCCAAGGGCTGCGGAAAATAGGATAGCCGCGGATAGCCCTGAAAATGTCCGATTTTTTTTTTTTTTAAATCATAATTTTCCACCCTTAAAGTGATGACTTGGTGCATCCATCAGACAAACCTGCCGCGCTAGGCGGTTGGCTATTCCTCCACAGCGCAAGCGGTGCACAACAACGAGGTGGGAGGGACGGTTTCGAAGGTTTCGAAGTCCCGGATTTCAATGAACTGCGAGGTGATTCAATGGGATTTAGATAGCTAAGTTGACGCACAGTGAATGCATGTCTTCAAATCCGATGCATATTGAACCACTCAACCAGTTCCAGCTGGGATTCTCTCGCGATCCAAGGCTCTCGAGTATGGACTTCCCTTTGGTCGCAAGGGTGATGTGATTGGAGCACTGTTGGAGTGGAAGGCGTGGGAGACGGCTGCTCCAAGAGACGGGAATCTCCCTCTATGGAACCGGATGAAATTGGGATTTCATGGGATATCAATGAGGCTTTGAATGGAATCACCCGGGCTCCAAATTTTGGATCTCAAGATGGTGAAGGTATACCCCCAAATGTTTTTTTTTTTTGGGAAGATCCATGAATAAAGTAGGGGGCCGCAACACCTACTGTTTTTTTTTTGTCAGACCCAAGGCATGAACTTCACCCAAAAAAACATTCCCATGCTGAGTTTGCCTGGACACTTACGGTGTATGTCCTATGGCTATTTGACATAGTGAACTGGTTAAAAAAAAGGGCCTTTTATGGATGATGATCTTTGCCGATGTTTGGAGATGGCTAGCGAAGTGGAAAACCTAGTTTTCCCCAACATTGTTGTTAAGTTAACGGTAAATCATCGAAGGTTAGCCATGGGTGAGCCATGGCTTCTATGTCTACCAGGGACGACTCATGAAAGATTCATCTTTGCTGAAAGAATACGATTTAAAGCACTATGTTAACACTATAAAACACGATAAATCACCATTAAATCACTATTATATATTTAAAGAATACATGGGTTTGTCTGAAAATGTCGTGTACCCCGAAAAACCCAATGGCTTTGCTGATCATTATCCCTACTAAATGGCTATTTCATTGGGGGTATACCCCATTTTCAGACATACCCACATGATTACCATTTTCCATGCGAATCCAGTTTTCGGAATCGAACGAAGGGACAAGAATGCAGAAAACCTCAATTTGCCAGTGAAACACGACATCGTCTCCAGTTGATTTTTGCTTGCAAATGAGAATGATCAATGGAATAATGGAATTGTCCCGAAAAACTCACAGTTCCATGTGGAAAACCCCAGGATTTATGTACGAATTTCCTGTGGAAACCATGAGTTTTCCTCATCTTTTTCGATGTTTACCATAGGCAACCAGGATGGCCCAAAAACCGGTTCCACCGTTGCGGCTAGGCGGTTGGTGTGGCGTGCGTGTCCTTCATGCTGAATGGCCAGGACTTAGGCGGGTGAAAAGGGTGGAGCGGCGGAGCAGTGCTGAGAGTTTCCACAGGGTGAAATGGGGATGGGTCAATACCTATTATTACCATATTTGGGGCAATAACCATCTATTCACCAACTATTTTAGGGTACCTAGGGTACCAGGGTTTTGACTCATAGCCACCAGACAATAAATGTAGCCTCTGGTTATGACTGTTACACTTCGCCATGGTTAAAATAGCCATGGCCCATAGTTAAATAGATGGTAAACACCGAACTTAATATAGCATGGTGATTTTCTTTCCATGGCGAAGTGTGCATGTCATAACCAGATGGTAATCACCATTAATCACCATTAATCACCATTAATCACCATGAATCACCATTAATCACCATTAATCACCATGAATCACCATTAATCACCATTAATCACCATGAATCACCATTAATCACCATGAATCACCATGAATCACCATTAATCACCATTAATCACCATTAATCACCATTAATCACCATTAATCACCATTAATCACCATTAATCACCATTAATCACCATTAATCACCATTAATCACCATGAATCACCATGAATCACCATTAATTATGGATTTTGCTGGTTAAATTACCATTTTCCATGGCGAACTGTGAATGTCATAACCAGATGGTAGCTCAGATTAGGATTAGCCTCAGCAAATCGACGCTGAGCAGCCGCAGCCAGGCTGCTCCTTGTTGCGCCCTGTTGCGAAAAATTAGGGAGATGGGATTAGTGTATCCTAAACTGAACTCTATAAAAAAACAATGTGGGGCCCCCAAACGTTATTTTGTTGGTTTATAGCCCCATCTAACTATGGTTATAACTACCATAAACCCTAGTGAAATTGTAGTTATAAACCAACTGAACGCTAGCTTGGGGGCCCCACATTGTATATTATTCATATTTATTGATATATTTGGGATTGATCTATGAAATTCATTTATGAAAATATTATCCAAATATAGTTTATGAATAGTGATTATATCCAAATCATTGATATATCGGGATATATTGGGGATTCATGAACTGGAATCCCTATCAGCCAACCAGTATAGTGAAACGGTAAAGATTTTCAACACTGCTCAAATGTAGTATATATATATGTATGTATATAATATAGTTAGACTGTTGCTCCCCCGTCTTTCTCATCTAACCGCCCACATTATTATACAAGCAAATTCTATGGGGTTAATACCAAAGACAGGGGAGCAACACCTTATAGAAAACAATAACATAAATCATAACAACAAAACAACAAAACAAAAAACTCAAACAACCTAAACAATACAATAGACCATAAAGAATACTATACCAAAAACCTTAACAACAAACCATACACTTACCCTCATTCAAAAGCCTGTTGTAATGCTAAAACCTATGAGATGGACTTTAAGATAAATTATGAAATAATTTATCTATGAAGCCAGACCTCGGCAATGGTAAAGCCAATACATAAATATAATTGAAAAATCAATGCCATAAACAGGATTTCTCCATCTTACCAGTCCAAGATTTAGGCAAAGGGACTGCCTAAATTTTAGGCAAAGGGACTACCTAAATTTTAGACAAGTGGGTTGCCTAAATTTGAGCCAAAGGGATTGCCTAAAATTTAGGCAAGGAGGGGTGCTCCACCCTATAGATAATAACACCCCCCCGTATTCAGTATCCGAATACACCCTTATTCTGTATTCAAATGCTGAATACCCCGTATTCAGTATCCGAATACACCCTTATTCTGTATTCAAATGCTGAATACGTCCATAGGCTCAATACCCATTGTCCAGCCCCTAGACATCCCAATGTATAGACTTTATACATCTAAATGTATAGACCTTATGCATCCCAATGTATAGGCTGTAGCCATCCAGATTATCCAGCCTAGATTTTGAAAAAAACTAGCCCAGATAATGGAATTATCCAGCCCAGATAATGGGAATATCCAGCCCAGATAATGGAATTATCCAGCCCAGATAATGGGAATATCCAGCCTAGGTAGTATTGAGACACACCCCGCACAAATCCATTTTCAGACCTTGAAAACACCCATTTTCAGACCTTGAAAACAACAATTTTCAGACACTGAAAACGGCAAAAAACACTTTCAGACCCTGAAAACGACATTTTCAGACACTGAAAACGGCAAAAAACAATTTTCAGGCACCGAAAACACCAGTTTTCAGGCAATGAAAACATCCATTTTCAAGCACTGAAAACACCCGTTTTCAAGCACTGAAAACACCAATTTACAAGCACTGAACACCCCAAACTAAAACACACAACATTTATAGCACTGAACATTTCTTGAACCAATGCTTCAGGAATTTCATTTGATGGCAGCCTTTGCCCTTTTTCAATATGTTTGTTTTCTATTACATTGCCACAGTCCCTTTTACACAATGCTCTGGGTTGCCACCCTTCCAAGTTTGTCCAAAGCCTAGTGCGTCTCCTGTATTCAAATCCATATTTACAAAAGTCTAAATCATAATAGGGAAGTTTTTTCATAAACTCTTGTTCTTTCAACAAACTTGATTGAGGATTTTGTATCACAAAAACCTGTGGTTTGAAGTAATTGATTACCTCAAGTATTTTTAACACAATCTTATTGGGTTCATCTATTTTTCTGACATCATTGGTATTTACCCTATTGTATTTAAAAGCTGGGGGTGAAGAAAAGACAAAGTCAAAGTATTTCACTGGATATTTTTTATATTTCCATTGTAGTATGTCGCAGTTTATATCAGCCCCTTTCAAATCTAATGACACAACAGTCCAGCCCATATCTTTACAAACAGTCCCCACACTGCCGGTTCCACTGAATAATTCAAGTAATTCATAATATTATTATAGATAATAATATTATCAAAATTTCATCTATTCACCCATCACTTTGAAGACTTCACCGTCTTTTTCAATTTTATAAAACTCAAGTGTTTGAGACTTTGGCATTTTTATACACGCATTTTATCACTCCATTAATTTATACACTTCACCATCCCTTTCAATCTTGTAAAACTCAAGAGTTTGACTATTAGGTTGCTTCACGCGACCTTCATTTAGCATTTTCAGATATTGAGATTGTTTCTCTTCAAAACTGCCTCTTGGGCGACCCACCTGTTTTTTCTCAAAGATTTTATCAATCCTTTCTTTTTCAGCATCAGCATCATTATTTTCAGCAGGTTTATTTTTCACTAATATATCAAGTTTTTCTAATGCCTTGTTCATTAAGTCCATCAATACCTTCACATTCTTGTTATACTTAGTCATCTTGTTCAGCATCTCTGCCATCTCAGGTTGTTTATCATCTAAATCATACATTTCTATATATAATTATTTAGATATTTATTTATTTATCAGTTCAACGTGTGTTAAAATCACTCTTTAAATAGTTTTAATCCATATCATTTATTGCCAGTTGTCCTTTGCTTCTGGGGGTAGTAGCCATTACATCCCGTATCATATTGTTAGTGCTTTCCTTATTTTTGTCCTCTGGTGTAATCCGACGGTTAAAACTGAAACTGATGCTATGGTCTTCACTTTCTAAAACAATTTCACCGTCATCATCCTTTTTTACATTCATTGTTTTATCATTCTTGCTGATTTTGAAACTACAGGGGGAGCATTTACATTTGATGCCCTTGGGGTTGATTTCAATTTCATTTCTCATCTGTAGTTTGCCATTACACAAGGGACATTCAAATACAATGTTTTTAGATGTCAGTTTTTGTTCCTCATTCAGATTGACAACAGCGGGTTCTTCATCTGATAGTTCAAAATCTTCAGGGATTGGCTTTTTTGGTATTTTGCTTTTACTGCTTTTCTTTAGTGGCATTTATATAATACTTAAGATAATTTATAATTACCTTCAGAAACTCCAGCATTACCCTGAATATCTGCTTTATTTTATTATCTCTTACAATTGGAAATTTAGTATCATCAATGACACTATCTTCAATCACATCTATTGTATTGATATAACTATCAAAAACTTCACAACTGCTCATCCTATATAATTAGATGATATATTTTACTACTATCTAATTATATATGGATTTTTAGGCGCAAACAAAAATCCATAAGGGGCGGTAGGTAAATGTCAAAGAAAAGGAACTGTGCTGATTGAAACATAGCATCAAACAAATTCTCAAGCAAAAAGGCTTCAACATCTTCTACTGCTTGTTGTCATAGCAAAAAGAGACCGTGTCGGGAGTGAAAAAGAAGCAAGAGCCAAAGGGGTGGATTTTTTATTTTTAATTAACCTTCTTATGAGGGGCAATATGGCAGTCTGTCCCAAATTTCGCGATGCGAAGCCTCGCAAGGCTCCGACCCCTTTCCAAGGAGCCTACGCGACCCCATTTCAAGCAAAATAAGATATGCCATTTACAATAAATATTGGAAATTAATTTCTAAATAATTTATATTATGAATAATACCGTTCCAATTATTAAACCGCATAAATCAGCAGAGTATGAGTTTAAACAATCAAAATATGATGTAGCCCCTAGAATACCATTTTCACAAATTGTAGTGGGACCGTCTGGCTCTGGTAAATCTATCTTACTACAGAATATGATATTAGATCTTTACAGAAATTGTTTTGAGAGGGTGTTTATATTTTCTGCTAGTATCCACGTTGATAGTGTCTGGCACCCAGTGAAAGAATACATTGAAAAAACACTAAAAGTAAATCCGAAGAAAGAGAAGGTTTATTTTGATGAGTTCCATAAAGAAGATTTGGAAGAGATACTTGAACAACAATACAAAATAAGTGAATATCAAAAGAAAAATAAATTCAAAAAACTGCTTGCTACATTGATTGTTGTTGATGATTTTGTTGATGCGGTTTCATTTTCAAAACACAACAGTATGCTCAATGCTCTTTACATCAGAGGAAGACATTTTGGGGTCAATGTGGTGAGTTCAACGCAAAAATTCAATGGGCTTTCAACAATTATCAGGGTCAATAGTAGGCAGTTATACTTTTCCAAAATGAGAA